GCTACGCTACAAAAAACGCATAAAAAGTCGTCCAATTTGCATCGATTGGCAAATTGGCCAATTTACTGCGTTGTTTGGTGGCAAAACGTGCGCTTCATTTGCATATTCCGATTTCGATGATTATAAAAGCTTTGAAAATGTTTTGTTTTATTCATACAGCAAATTCGCCCTTCCATCCGTCTACCGCGCAACTTCATGGATCGCCTACATTTCCAATATGTGTGCCGGCAGAGGTCAAAATACGGTTTCCTTCCCTTTGCCACATTTCTTGCTTGCCCAGCAGCAGCTCATCTTCTGCAAACTGTGACACAGAAAGGCAACTGGCCATTTTTTCGCAGAATTATTTTTTAAAATTATTCGTCAGCTGACAAGTGTAATGGCAATTCGGACGGGGAGGTCCACTGCGCCAGCGAGACAACGAAGGAGGAAGTGACTGTCCTGATTTGAGCCAGCGAATAATTCACTCGAGATTCTTTTGAATTTTAAATTATGGAGAAACAACTGACGGTCTCCTGTAATCAGTCATTAGTGGATGCGGAAAACCGCTCTTTTGAGAGCTAGGCACAGACGAATTTATCGAATTTCTCGTTGCGCAGAAAAAAACTCCTGCGAGTCAACTTTTTTTAGTTTTCGAAAAACAGTTTTTTCTTTTTGCAAATACATGACTCAGTAACTAGCGCACATACATTGAACAGACGACAGCTACTAACTGGGCTTATGCAGCCCGAAACCGAAGGGCCTGGCATAGCTCAGTGCGGCATGTGTAAGCATCCCAGCTAACAGTTGGAACATCCTCGCTGATACCTCGGCGGGCAGCATCTCTTATTTCCGGCACAAAAAAGACCCATAAATTTCTGGAAAACACTGCCTTCTTATAAGAGCACAACTGCAGAAGTCTAGCGACAAAAACTTGCAAATGTATCAGCTTCCGGTGACTTATCTGAGGGGACGATTGTCCAGGAGGAGCAGCTGGCGCCAGCTAAGCACAGAGGCACTGCCCACAGCCACGGAGAATTGCCTTGCCGGCAGCCGGCCATTGCATTTTGGTCAGTGCTCATTGATTTATGCCAAACTGCCAAGAAACTTGTGTTCGCGATGTGCCTTGGTTTCTCCCCGAGCAGGTGCCCAGTCCTTCAGACCTGGGACGTGGTTTATGCTTTTTTTTTCTCCTTTCGCCTTGGTGGTTTGGTTTTTTCTTCTTTTTCCCATCTTGGTCTATAACTTGCATCTTTTTTGTACTGGTTTCTGTACAACGGCATTTCTTGCGCGTTCGTTATGCCTGGATTCAATTGTTGATTTATGAAAAAGTTGGAGGCTTTGTCGGTGGGAGAAGCCGTTTGCTATAAAATTTATATCGAAAAATCAATGGTCCTTTATACTTTATTTTGCATAAAAGGCATTCGGATGGATAGGAAATGCCTTAATGAGAGCTGGTGGATGTTACATATGTTGGTGAGTGGTACCAGCGACCTCGCGTCGTTCTGAGAAGTTGGCGCACATGCATCGAGCAGGCGCAGTGAGTGTCAGCTAGAGGCATGCGTCGCAAGACTGATCGAGGGGCTCGGGGCATAGTTGCGTCCGAAATTTTGAAGTGATATCGCTAAGCACATTAGCCTGGATGAATGCATGCACATTCCTAAGCATCAGCCTTTGCTGCTGCCAGAGTGCTGTTGGCTTCAAAGAAAAGGGTATTTGGAAGTGTTCCCGTTTTGCCCGTAACAATTGTTCACACAGTGCAGGGCAGTTCTAGCGGTTCCAGAAGCATTTCTGAGTTCGAGCAATTTATAATGTGAATGTTTTGCAGTGCCATGTCCGATGATGATTTGCTGATTGTGAACGGCGATGCGTCGCTGATGATGGAGCTGTTTCGGGAGGCTGCTGACCATCCTGCTGCAGTCATCCAGCAACAGCATCAGGTGTTCCCCGTTGACCTGTAGCTGAGGACAGCACTAAAACTGGGATCAGCTCGGCTCGGCCTTACTCCTCTCTGCACTAATGTGACACTACAGCTGCCACGAGCATCGCTTTTCCTGTCACTTCAGTGACGCACTTAGCCGTTGGGCGAAGTTCCCCCCGAGCTCTGGGTAACGTAGTTTGAGGGTGGTGGATGGGAAAAGGGGATGGTGTGGTATTCGCCAGTACATGAATTTGCCATTCAAGCGACTGAACAGGTTGCCGAGGAATTGGTACCCTTGTTCCTTCTTTTTTTTTTTTTTTTTTTCCGGTACGTTGTGACGGCTAAATTGCGTATGCACTGGTGAGATTAAGCTACAGCTGTGTTAGCTGTACACAATGCTCAGTGTCCCATCCTAATAAAATAGCAAATAATAACGGGTGTGCAGTGCCTCTGTGTCGCCATCGTCTTCGGAATCTGTTATTTTTTGTAGGATGATGTATCGGAGAATGCAGCGGGAGGTAGCAATAATCCGTGGGATGCAACGTCGTCTGTTTCTGTAAGTTTTGTTTCTTCCGATGTTATCTGCCTCCATAGTACCATGGTGTAGCTGGCCCTAGTATGGCACGAGAGTGTATGCCTGTACACTGGAAATGGCACCGTCATAAAATTTCTGCCCCGGTAAATCCTCTTTCCATGGTTGTTATAAAAGAATTGAGGGTGTTGTTTGTTGGCGAGCGGATAGACAATGCAAGGGGAATGTAATAAATTTTGTGTTTCGTTTGAAAAAACGATGAAGGAAAACTTGAAAATTATGGAGGATTTTTATTTTTTCCTTTAATTTGGCAACCCGTAGCATCACGAACATGGCACAGCTATAGTGGTGCCTGAAACTGATTTCCGCGGTATTCTTTTGGGAGTATCCGTCTCTCGAGGATGTGATGTGGGAAAAAGGAAGATTTTTCAAATTTGAATGAGTTTGTAACAAGTAATAATTAGTAGCACGGGGTGGGATTGCAAAACCAACAGTTAGAAGTAGCAGAGGAGGTTTTTTAGGAGTCTCAGCCGTTCAGTCCGAGAAAACGGAATGATTTGCGATTGCAGAACTCGGATGGAGCCGATTCAAGTGCTACCATGTGTGCCGCCGGACAGAACAATACTGATCCAGCAGTACCACCTAAACGGCTCTTTTCACTGAGCAGTATCGAAGCAGCCAAACACCTGGACCTTCTGGCATGTGGTGCCGAGATTATGCGCTCTCCTGAGGACGGCATTCACCGTGGTATTTCTTTTTTTTTCCCCGAATACTTATCTGATATTATTTTCCTGCATCTGTGAATTGTATTGCCTCAGTGGTGCGAGTCGAGTGTCGGGATGAGTGTGCCTCAGAAAACCCTAAAATTCACCCGGATACCGGTTGGTAGGCGTGGAATTACTGGCCGCAAACTTAAAAAGGATTTTAGGAAAAGCTGGCGGAAACGCTTTCTGATAATTCGATTATTTTTCAGAATCCAAAACGGGTGGCGTAATAAAGCTGAATATATCGAATATGGGGGCGCTGCGAACCAAAGTGACCACGTCGTTTCATACAATTGCCAATCTACCATGGTAAATTCCTCGTGCATCAGTTATGCGCTTTGTGCTCTGCAACAGCTGCACCAAACACACATTGTCATGGGTTTGCCTGCATGTTTGTGTCTGTGTCCAAATGCGTTTTGTCCACAACTTTCAACTCGGAAACCACATATCTTAAGAAGATGAAATTTTAGGGTAATGTCATCTGACATACAGCGCTGTTAATTCTAATTCATTTTTAACGTGCGCCTAAATTATTAGATTGTGAGCGAAAAGAGCCATGAGGCTGAAGATTTCAGGAGGATATTTTTTGCATATGCAGGGGCCTCACAAGTTCAAATTTAGCTCCCAAGTATGACGAGGTCTCACGTGCGACTACATGAAAATTTTGGTGCGAAAATCTTCCGAAAACCAGAAAACTAACAGTTTGAAATTTAGAAGGGATATTCTCCGTCTAAGGTTTCAAATTCAACTTACACATACGGCACGTTTCACTCGCCGGTACATAAAATTTTTAGTGAGAAATTTCGTAGATTAGGAACTAGACAACTTATCAACTATTTTTGCGCAGACCAAAGTGTAAAAGAATGAAAATCCTTGACAGGCAAGCGTTCGCTGGACAGAACTGCACAAAACACTGTGATGCGTGCTGCTGTTTATTTTTTACTGCTTTGTCGGAGTGTAAAGTAAGCGGAAAAGAAAAGGTTGTTAGGACAGCTGGCAGCTTCTCCGTAGCCGCTTTGACCGTTGTTGCATCCGGGGAATCAGCTTACTGCCCGTAATGAACATTAAAGGCGTACCGGTCTGGCTGTATTTTGTGGGATTTAACATGAAGTAATCGAGCGATGATAAGTGATGATAGCAAGTGGTAATACCGATATACTACTGTGATTTTTGACTACTACAGCATGCAGTCTGAAAATGACTTGCAGGCGTTTGGCTGCAAAAACGGAGTGCACGAAGCGTACCAGCAATGTGAAGTTCTTCAGCGTGTACATTGACTGCAATCCGGATAGTGAATCAACGCTGTGGAGTTGTGATGCTGTCGTCGAGTTCCGCTTAATCTCGCAGAAACCTGACGTTGCTGATTTTTGCCGTCAGGTCTCTCTCAGTTCACTTAATCATTTCCTTCACCTGAGGTCCTCGAGAAAGTGAAATATTTTAAGGCAAGAAGGCGCTTCGCTTGATTCTTTCGAGAAATGTAAGTCACTGGACTGTGAGGCAGATGGTTGTTTGTCATGTTGCAGCACAGAAGTTAGGGATCTGAGCGATTTTTGTGAATTTTGAAATTACATCTCCAGAACTTTTTTTGAATGTGTAGTTGAGATTTTTCCGTAAAACTCTGAAACTTTGATTTTTCCCCGTTTCTGGCTTGTTTCGTTCTCGATTGTTTTTCCTCTGATTTCTTCTCTTTACAGCCGTTCACACATTTAGAGAAAGAATGAGGCTCATATGTGTAGTTGAAGCAAATGCGCAACTCAGCACAGAAGCGCTTGATTTACCCATGCTTTTTTGAGTACATATAAGTAACGGTGAAGCTTCACGCTAATAGTTCG